TCTGTGTCTTCAAGCTTTTTTTTANAGCATGTGTCAAGTTAAAATCGCTGTCAAGCCAGTGTGCAGTGAAACTGAGGAAACTGACAGAGTTTTGCAAGCACGTCCACAAGTCGGTAGTGATTGATATATAATCTGTGTCTTTAAGCTTTTTTTTAATCTTTGTTACTACTTTTCCATAAAGTTCAGGAATTATTTTCTCTGAAAAGTACGGTCTACTCGGTATGACATATCGCGGCAAAATCTCATTTAACAATCTTTTCAAACCAGATGTTTCAACTATGTTCAGTGGTTCATTATCAATCGCTATCATTTCGGCAATCAGATAATGATATTTCACAGCCCAAGGGTCATTTATATCCCACTTTTTTGTTATTTCTTGGCAGTCGTAAAGGGTTAATTGCTTCGTGGACTTACTTGAACAGGGAACGACATCATCCGCTGTGTTTTCTTTCGTTGAGATAGATTTATGTATTTTCTGATACTCCTCCTTGTGTTTATTCTTCAAATGATTTATCAAACCCGACGTCGAAGCTTTTTTCCCCTTACCTCCACGAAAAATTTTTGTATCACATACTTTGCACTGCACATTACGCGAATCTTCGTGATTTTCTTCAAAGTAAATCCAAACTGAAGACCTTTTTTTACTCATCGTACTGTTCCAAAGTCACAAACCTCTTTAAAAAATCGACTGCAAATAAAATAACTTAACTTGCATCTAAATACAGTAGAGCGTCGTTTATCCGAAAGCTGGTTATCCGAAACGTCCGTTATCCGAAAGCATTCTAGTCGGCAAATTTAAATTTTCGCTAGTGCTGTGGCGCTGCNCAGTGGTTCATTATCAATCGCTATCATTTCGGCAATCAGATAATGGTATTTCACAGCCCGAGGGTCATTTATATCCCACTTTTTTGTTTTTTCTTAGCAGTCATAAAGGGTTAATAATCCTTCGGTTTTAATATTACTTTGTCATTATATTACTAAAACAGGTGATTAAGTTTTTGTCATCACAATCAAGTTGTTATATTTGCATCCATGCCATTCACCACAATTCTTCTGTTTATAAAAACCAGAAGTGTTCGATCCTAACCGTTTCTTGCCTGAAACTTCGAAAGTCTTTCTCCTTACACTTTTCTGCCATTTTCTGCCGGTCCACGAAATTGTCTCGGTAAGTGTTTACTTGCTAAATTGTAAAAAAACAATAGTTTTTCAATAAATTTATTTAATTACAGGAAGTAAACTTGCAATGATTAAAATGAAAACAGTTTTGGCAAATGTTCTACGGAATTTTAAAATTCACTCTTTGGATCCTCAAGACAAGATCGTTATGTATTACGAAGTAGTCATGACCCNGTGTAGTGACAGCGGGCCAATAGAGAGCAGGGTGCGCGATCCTTGCCATATAATGCGATTTGCATGCTAATTTTTGTGTGTTAATCAAGCCGAATAGTTTGGCCGAATATTCGGCTATTCAACCACACTCCTGGCCGAATATTCGGTATTCAGCCTGAGGCCGAATATACTATTCGTTACATCACTATTAATTAACCACTTACCATCTGAACCTGGTTATTTCGGGCAATGTTTTCATTTAGCACTCTCCGGACCCAAGATAACTCGAACAAATTTAAATAATCATATGTAACATTTCATTGCTCAAAATAATTCAAACAAAGCTTATTTACATTCTACTGAATGTTATTTATGACTTCAGCAATTTTCGTAATTTTACACCCAATAGATGTTTATGTTTTTGACCATTATTTTGGTCCCTATATATAGAAATAGTATATTGGATTGAAAAAATCGTCATGTATTTGAGTACTTACAGTAACTGATGCACTCTGTCTAGAAACCTGTCTTCCCCTGAAACTTTTGTGGGAATAACCTGCCAATGTCCACAAACAGCTGTTCTCAAAGACATTTAGCTCTGTACACCGAAATGAGGCACAAGTCACATGAGCGGTTTTTTTTATGTTAAAGATAATAACTTTATAAATAATATGTAAGAAAGGAAATAAAGTTTTATACTAAAATTTCATAGAAATTATTTTATAAAATGGTGTAATATAAATTACTTATTATTTGTGGGAGTTTTTTCTGTAAAGCTTCTTCTGTCAGAATGTTAGGTTAGTGAGGTTCAAGCTTAGCATATAATTAATATAGGTTGTAACATAACAACCAAATATAAAAACGATAATAAAATAACATGATATATTTTAGTATTCAGGGTGACTGATACACATGTCTAGAAACTCACTTTCCCTCAGGCATTGTTAAGAATTAACTAACTGCAAACATTAACCAACAGCTGTTTTCAAAGTCGAGTAACTGTTTATAGTGTACTGCAATGTGTGTTATCTCGTTGCAAGTTTGTGTTATATGAATAATAAAATGTATCTAAATAATACATAATAAAAGAAAAGCAGTGATTTAAGACATTTTATTTACATTTATATAAAAAATGTAAATAATATTTGAACATTAAAATTTTTGTTCAATTACTGCTGGAATTAGCATTTAGGTGTGAATTTTTGTGTTTAAAAAATATGTGCACAGAAGTTGTGACCATCAGTTTCAAATATCAAGCAATACACAAGTTGTGTAATAAAATTATTATACAAATATATACAATGGGTGATCGATTAATGAACAAATCGGATAACAAACACTTTTACGAAAGATTTTTATGTTCGGACAACAAACACATGATCAGACAACGAACACCTCACAGAACAAACACAAGAAAAAGCAATGTAAAATAACAAATATCAATTGATCTTCCCTTGTCTTCAGACAATTCAAACTTTTCAGAGCACGGGAAACGTCAACATCAACGCTCAATCTGGTTTATACTGATCAGATAGTACTCTTCCGAATTTTGAAACTCTCCCTTGTAATTCCACCCTTTTATTTTTCTGACAGAAATAATTCTTTTATAGTATTCGCAAGACTGTCGGATGGGCACTCATTAAGTTTTGTGTCAGTTTTTATTTTTGAAAGGTGAGAGAATAATAAGCAAGAAACGAAAAAATAATAGCAATAAGTATAATATTATAATAGCAGAAGTAGAATGGGCAGATATCTGATGTCAGTTGTTGCTGGGCAGTATGACTTGAACATGTCTACAGTAGGCCATAGTTAAATTTTATCTAAGAAAGATACTGTATTATCAAGATGACTCAAGCAGCTAAAGGAGTAACTAAAATCACATCTGAGAATTAAAGAACATTGAAGAGCTCATAATGAAACCTGAAACGGATCTGACGACAGAAGAACACCAAGAAACTCAACAAAATGTTTTCTTCTGAAAATGCAAATTAATGTCTGCTATTAAGCATTTTTTGAAGAAGTGGGAGGATGTGAGAACAATGGTGTAGAATGACATTCAAACCATGTTGAGGTTAATAGGCTTAGGGATCTATATAATTGCAATGCTATTAATTACTTCTGAAAAATCCTGAAGAGAGAAAAGCAATTGACAATAGACAGATTCTTTAACCCCACAAATGGAAAAAACATGACTAATAAAAATGCAACACTGTGTATATAAGTACTTTTATTATTACATATAAATAAACGTAGTAAGAAAGTATATATATTTTTATTTTTTGGAGTTTCCGGAACAAATTAATCACATTCCAATAAAAACCTATGGAAAATCAATAATTGGTTAACAAACAAAGTCTTAGAATGTATTATGTTCATTAACCAATCAAACCACTGTATATATATATAGAGCAGTGCAGATAGAGCCAATCCACTGACTGACCAAGATCTCTCAAAAATTTAATCATTTCCCTATGGTCATCAGGGAACACAAAGCATAATGCTTTGTACATTTATGTATTTCTAATCTGTATAAATTTGAAAATAAAGGGTATATACTGAACTGTCTTGAGTGTGGAGATGTACTTACAATAGACCTACATCTAGAACATTCTAAACTGTGTTTAACCTAATGAACCAACATAAGAAGATGGAATTCAGGGAGGAAACTTCACTTACCATATGCTTTGTAGCTTGATTACAGATATTTAAAAATATAAATGTAAAGATGAGTGCAAGATGAACTAAAAACACACAAAATAACAGAGGGAAAAAGAAAACACTAAAAAGTAGGAATATGATCAATCACAATCTCTCAGTGTCCTGTTAACTAGACACTACTGCATGTTATCAGTTCGTTTATGGGTTTTAACCTGTGTTCAATGGAATTTGCTTTTTTCTTGTTGTATTTTATATTCTGGTTCTTGTTTAAGCTATAGCCTAAAATTTTAATAATTACAGTGGTACCTCAGGTTACGAACGCCCCAGCATACGAAATTTTCAGGATACGACATGAAATTCGAACATATTTTTGCTCCACGATACGAACAAAAACTCACCATACGACGTTACATTAGTTCGCATTTTTCATTTGTTTTTGTTACTACAGTTATTTTTTTTAATGTATTACTTGGCTTTAATTTGAGTATGTTTTTCGTGTTGGAACGAATTATTTGGTTTTACATGTAATCGTATGGGAAAAGATGATCCACCTTACGACATTTTCATGATACGATCTCAGTTTCGGAACGGATTAATTTCGTATCCTGAGGTACCACTGTAATCATTTAGTACTATATTTTTATTATAATGTTGGGAAGACCATCTGCATTTATGAAGTTGAGTGATAACTCCACAATACAGTTGTGAACTAAGAGGGGTGCAAAAGTGATGGTGTGAACTGAAGCAGTATAACAAAGTCATACCTGTAGTTGATTTTACTGAAATTGTTTCTCATCCTTCATAATAAGAGATATAAGAAAATGTCAGTCATAAAGAGCATAAAACAAGCAAATTGTCTAACTACATACTCAACTGTATTTTCTGCAATGTAAAGTAAGTTATAAATTGAATAACAAGTTCAGTCTCTATTCAAATGTGTATTTAACATATCTTGTAAAGTATTATTTTGACAGTATCTGACCATTATCCAAAAAATATAAAGCTTAACTTACTGATAAATAATGTAGAATGAACAAAATCAAAGAGTTTCTTTATCTTGCATCCAGATTTGCACAATATAATTTCTTGCTTTATTAAAACAGTTCAAAGATATGGTAATTTTTTCAAACTTTCCTTTTCTGTCAAATAAACAACGAATTAATTAATTAGACATAAATAAAACATCTCGATTGTTTATTAAAAATTAAAATACAAAGCAAAAAAATTAATAGATGAGAATACTCATTGATTAATAAAATACAAAATTAATTATTATGATTATTTATTAAACTCTTTCTTTTAATACATTTATTTTCATTTAAAATAATAATAAAAATTATAGTTCACTTTATTTCAAATGAGGATAATGTTAGGCAGCATAAAGATTATTTATATTTAATTACTCATGTTGTTTGTCTTTTAATTTCCATTATCTCAAATTTTGAAGATTTTCTCTTAAAATTATAATGCTTCTCAACCTACTAAATGGTTTTTATGATCACATTGGGGGCATTCACTTTCACAGAGGAATTATCCACACTAATAATGCTTTAGAACAATTATATAAAGACTTACATGAAAAGTTCAGACTTATTATAATTTAATGTACTGATTAAATCAAGATGTTTTAAAACAATTTTTCAGTATAATTAAGTCAATAAGAGGGATTTATGATCATCCAGATACTTTGGAATTTAAACATTTATTAAGAAATTACATTCTAAATAGAAATGAAGGTACCTTTTCACATGGAGGTAAAGATGTCAAAGACGATGACATTCCAGATAGTCCTGTAGATATTTGTGAAATTCTTTTGAGTGATAAATACTTTACTTCTTTACAAGACAAAGCCTTAACCTGCCAACTAAGAGTTAGAAGGTAAGTAAGAGACAGCAAAATAAAATTACAGGCAAATATTATCCAAAAAAGATTGCAAGCAGAGAAGAAATTAGACCAATATAAAGAAAAAAATACAGTCGACCCCCCTATAAGATCATTGATTATTCCGTTTTATATGAATTCCATGTTGTACGAGTCACTTAAATTTTACAAATACGTGAGCCGTTCACAGCCCGGTACACGTATTTGTAAAATCTAAGTGACTCGTACAACATGGAATTCATATAAAACGGAATAATCAATGATCTTATAGGGGGGTCGACTGTATAACACTATAAATGTGACTGAAGAAAAATGTCAATGAAAGAATATGACATTCGAAATTCATTTCATCAAGTAGAAGATAGTGAGGCAAGAATTTTTAATCCTTAAACTAAGTAATTGATCTGTGTATCTTGTTTTGTTTAAAGATTTTAAACAAAGATTTTTGCTTTCCTGTGTTTTCTTACAAAAATGTGCCTTTCTTATGAAATCTAACAACGCCTCCCCCATCATAGATTCCGAAGACATCTTTAACAATTTAACATTGTATGAAGTTAACAGTTACTTCCCCACCAGAGGTCACAGAAATATTGTCATCTCGTGGGGCTTGTGCCTCATTTGCACCTAACTGATTTCATCCTGCCCTGTGCTCGTTGCATAGTTTTATAGCATTCATAAGCAGTAATTTATTTACTTGTGAACAAATTTCATTTGCAGTCAGCAGTTAAAATGGCCTGGAGTGCCTGTAGTTATAGAGTGGTGCTGTAAGGTTGTGCCATTCAGAGCTCCTCCTTTTTAAATGATTTCTGGTGGATATTTTTCAGAAAATGAAAATCAGAAAATTTATATAAATAAAATATTTTCTGTTACTACTGATTCCAGTCATGCAATGGTCAGAAAAAAAAAGGTTTGTTAAACTTCTTGAAAATCATATTGAGTATAGAATATTAAGATTCCACTGTATTATACACCAGGAAAGTTTAGTGGCAAAAATCTCATCACAGCATTTGAATTATGTAATGGACACAGTTATTAAGATAGTTAATTTCATTGTTTCACATTCTTCGTTGACACACAGGCAATTTAAGTCTCTTTTACAAGGAATGAAGAGTGAATATGTAGACCTTCCGCTATACTGCAATATTCGTTGGCTTAGTCAAGGTAATGTCTTAAACAGATTTATATGTTTGAAATAAATCAAGCTGTTTCTTCATGGAAAAAAAAAATTTCTGGAATTGAATGAAGAAGACTGGTTATGCAATTGATGTTTTTGACTGATATAACAACACCTCAATGAATTAAATTTGCATTTACAAGGTAAGGTTCAAACAGTACTAGAACTTTTTGAACACTGGATAGAGTTCCCATCAAAATTAAATATATGTTAGCACAATATTACCACTAAACACATACAAGTACTTTTCAAATGTCAATGTTTATGCAAAAAAATTTACTGTTAACAAAGATGAACTATAAATGTATGTTAAAGGCCTTAAAAAAGAATTTTCCAAACGATGTGGAGATTGAAATTCATACAACCATATTCTCTTTGCTTATTAAACCTGATTTAATTGATTTAAAAACAGTCTCATTTGATTTATCTCTTTTTGAGTGGATGGACACTGATAATTTTGAAATGGACCTTACTGAATTAATATCATCAGAATTGTATAAAACAGAATTTGTCGAATTGTGGAAAACTCTTGAAAGTGACTGCACAGAAAAGTCAGCTGTCATTTTCAATTGGTAGATATCTTTACCTGAAAGATTTAATTGTTTGAAGAAAGAATTGTGCTCTACTTTCAGTGTTCAGTTCAACTTACCTCTGTGAACAAATTTTCTCACATGAAAAGTATTTTGAATTCACATAGAAGTTGTCTAACACTTGAACATTCAGAAGCTTGCATGAAGCTAAAAGTAAAAATTACACACTTAATATTGAAAAATTAAGCAAAGAAATACAGGGACAAGGCTCACATTAATCGATTAATAGCTGTAATTAATATAGAAAATGATTAATAACAGAATTTTTGATAATTTGTTTGTTTTCAAACTATGTACAATGTTTTATTACATTAAAAATGTAATTTATAATTGCTACCCTATGTTTTTTTTTTAACACTTAAACAACCAGTTTCCATCATTACTGGAAAACAAAATATTATAAAAATAAACTAAAATGTATAAAATATTTTCTCTGATGTACAAATAAATACACAAAGCCATTGTAATAAACTGCATGAATTGCAAATTTGCCCTATTCAATGAATTAGAATTCTGAGAGTTCTTATTTCTAAGAACATATGAGTAGAACAAAAACTGAAATAAAATAGCAAAAAATTCATAGAATCATATCGGCACATTGTACAATAACAATTTCACTAAAATGACAGGAGTTATAAGCGGGTTGTTGTTAAATTCAGCACTATGCTATCACTGCAGCTAAAAACTGCTGTTAAACTCTTGGCTGCACACCGCTTCACATAAACTAAACGCTTGAGTTTGAGGATATTTTTACAGCTCTTGAAGGAGGTGGTTTTCTGCAACAGCAAAATGGCAGAAGAATTCAAATTTATTATTGAAAACAATAAATTTAAAGATTTTGTATACGACAAGACAGCATTTAAGATAAATAACGGTAAATATTAATTATATAATTTTAACATTATTTTATAAATATTTGTTAGTTTATTTAATAACTTTGTTTTTAACTAGATTTTGTTGGTTTTATGTTTAAAAAAATATTATTTTAAGCATATACTTTAGGGGAGAGTATCCAGAGCGAGACGTGTTCCACACTGAAAGAAATCGTTTTAAAATTTGTACATTCAATTTAAACCTATATCATACTTCAATCATTAATATTTAATTACTTTGTTATATGGAATTAAATATTTGTATTAAAATATTATGTACTGATATATACTTTAAAATGTTTTAATCTTTGGAAATCTCTATACTTAAAATAATCTTTTTCATAATCTTTAATTTTAGATCCTACATTTGCTTAGCAGTACAGATTAGAGCAGTGTTTCTCAACGGGGCGATATCGCCCCATTTGGGCATTTTTCCATGTTGAGGGGCAATTCGTAACAATTTATATTTTGGGGGCGAAAAACAATTTTCTGGGCGATATAGTAAAACATTATATTAAGATTAATTAGATATTTTATTATATCGTACAATAATTAAACTAATAACATTATACTAGTCACTAGTCTATTCAATTCAGTATGAATTTGGCATTAGCCTTGGCCCTCAGCATCAGAATTTTGAAGTGAAGGGGGCAATACTACATTATGATTTTATTAAAAGGGCGACAGTTCATTAGAGGTTGAGAAACACTGGATTAGAGCTTGCAAATGAAGACAAAACCTGAAAAATATACACTGGTGGAGTTTAATAAAAATTTAGAAAGTAATACAAATTCAGGTATTAAAAGAAATGTGACTGCAGGAATTACTTTCATTGTTAATTTACAGTATAATTTATATAATTTTTATTTTAAAACAGTTCCAAGTACTTCAGGCAGTAGGATTGTTCAGAAAGTAATTTCGTTTTTTCTACCACTAGACAGATTAGTCAAATTTTTCCCACCATTTTCATTCTGAACCGTATTATCATTATATATTTTGATAGCTAGCATTTTAAGGCTTATTTGTAAAAAATTTTGTTTGATTTTGTGCAATTGTTTATTTTTTGTGTCCCATCAAATATGGAAGATCAAAAGCAGCATTTTCAGCATATTTTGCTCTTTTATTACTGAAAAGGTAAGAATGCTGTTAAAGCGAGAAAAAAATTCTGTGACGTGTATGGAGATGATGTATTGACAGAACGACAGTGCCAAAACTGGTTTACAAAATTTCGTTCTTGCAATTTCAATATTGAAGATGCACCACATTCTGGATGGCCAGTTGAAGCCAATGAAAACAAAATAAAGGTACTGATTGAAGCAAACTGCCAAATAACAACACGTGAAATCACTAAGAAATTAAATTTGTCAAATTGAACTGTTTATGATTACTTGAAACAAACTGGTTTCGTTTCAAAGCTTGATGTATGGGTTCCACATATTCTTAAAGAGAAATGCTCTCATTGCTGGGATTTTAAGGAAATTATTTTTTGGAGCTTTTACCAGACAATTTAACAATTGATTCGAAAGTGTATTGCTATCGAGTAAACAAACTGAGTAATATCATCAAACAGAAAAGGCAGCCAGAATTGATCAACAAAACAGGTGTAGTGTTTTACCACAATAATGTCAAATTTCACACAAGTTTGATAACTGGCCAGAAACTTATAACTTAGATGGGATGTGCTATCACACCAACCATATTCACCAGATCCAGCACACTCAGATTATTACTTGTTTTGGTCTATACAAAATTTTTTTAACTGAAGACATTTACTTGAAATGACAATGTCGAAAATCACTTGGATCAGTTTTTTATAAGCAATGATCAAAACTTTTATGAATGTGAAATCATACTACTACAAGAAACGATGACAACAGGTATTTGGCCAAAATGGTTGATATATAATTCAATAAAATATTTATTTATTATAAAAATATTGCATTTTATTCATAGTATATTTATCCAGTTAGTTCGTTTTATAAATGTTTTTTTTTCCACGGAAAAAAAACGAAATTACTTTTCGAACAACCAAATACTTATTTTTATAAACATATACAGTAGAACCTCCATTATCCGGATTTTCGATTATCCGGATTGTTCAAAATAAACAAAAATTTTACGAATTTGCTGATTTGCACTTGGCGAATTACGACACTGTTTATGTACAGTACGTGATGGAATGCATAACTTTTTTTGTTTTAACAACGTCTCACCCAGCACAGTGGTCGTAAACTCTTAAATATATTTTACGT